ATTTGAAATTTAATGCTGGTGATGGTTTTCTCCGCAGTTACTGTTTGATGCTGCAAGAAATAGTTGTGTTGAGCTTGCAACCGATCGCCATGGTTGTTGTGTGCTTCAAAAATGCCTCAGTTGTTCGGATACTGGACTCAGAGATGATTTAATCAGTGTGATCACTCGAAATGTTCTGGTCATTTCCCAAGATCAATATGGGTAATATATATGTTTTCTTTCAAATTTAATCCCAAGCTCTCGCTTAGTTGATGCAAATAATGGCTATTGTTAATAAATGAATTTTCATCAGACAAAAATCTTTAGGTAATTTTGTGGCTTAGTCACTTGGATTGATCCGTGTTTATTTAATTTTTTGTTCCAAAGATCCTAGTTTGATTTATGATTCAGAATCTTAATCTTAAGAATTTTGTATTTTGCATAGCCACAGGATCACGGAGTTCATGTTTAGCTTGTATGATCCGTTTAGAATTTCAGAATTTAAAAGTCTCTGTTTCTGATGTCTTTTGAATGTGTAACCGGCATGTATGATATCGATTTTGTTTTTAATTTTTTTTCTTTCAATTATGCTTGCTTACTCACAATCTTTTTATTATATTGTTCACCTTCTTCAAAAACACATTTACCTTCTTCCAAAAATTATAACAAAATAAAGATACACGTAGGCAGAAGTAGCGACAGAAGTATTATTTATATATAAGCTTAATTTTCAATAACAGAAACGAAAAACAAAATTGCTCTCACGTCGGCGTTGCTGCTTGTTGATTTCAAACTTGCTTTAAGAGTCCACAAAGTTTCGTGCCTGATACTTTTTTGCTGTTTATAAAAATAAGGGTCGCTGTGAGACAAACTACGATGACTTCAACTTGTTACTATTGTTGTGCACCCACAAAATATGTGCCAAAATTACATGGTTTCTCTAGACACTTGACTGCATCTTGGAGATGTATTGGAGTTGATTTAGAACCATGAATTATAACTTACAGGTAACATTGCATTAAATTCTATTATATGCAGGAACTATGTTGTGCAATTCATCCTCAAGATTGATCTTCAATGGGCTACAGACGAAATACTCGAACAGCTAGCGGGCAGTTATGGGGACTTGTCCATGCAGAAATACAGTAGTAATGTCGTCGAAAAATGCCTGCAAGTTGCAAAGGAAGGAGAACGCCTCCCTAAAATTGTGAATGAACTGATAAAGGATCCACGATTTGATAAAATCATGCAGGACCCGTATGGCAATTATGCAATTCAAACGGCGTTGAATCAATCAGAGGTTAGCAGAGCCAATATTTCCATTCTCTTTTTCGGTATCTGTGTTCATGTGTGAGGAATGTGTGAAATCAGGATGTTTGATTTTGTGTAGGTTACTTGGGAACATAATACTGACTTAACTTGTTTGTCTTCTGTTGTGTGTTTGTATCTTTTGGTTGCTATTTGAAATATTACAATTAAAATCAAACCTCATAACAAACACCCTACATCCCCTGTTGTGATGTCAGACCAACTAGAATCGGTTACATTATATGAATGGTCAGAAAAAAACTCCAGATTGAGAGCACCATAGAGAAGCATTATGATTTACAACGTCCTATCTTTTAAACCACTCAAGCAAATTTTTCTTCAAAGATTTCTTTGATTTCTTTCAGACCAAATGCTCTAAAAGAGTAGCCCTTACAACACTGACCCCACAACCTTGCTTTAATTTCCAGCTTTGGACTGCCTTTAGCTTTCTACAAGAACATCCTAAGACATAGGTGCTATGGCAATTCAATATAAGGTCTTTCAGTGCATGTATTCTCTTTCTTAACTGGTCTTTAAGGTGATGAAACTTGATTGAAAATTTAAAACGAAAAGCGAAAGGATGAAACAAATGAAGGCAGGCTTTTGGAAGCGTCTGTTTTGAGTTTTGACATTAACAGGTGCTTGTCGAGCTGATTTCTAATACGATCAGATCAATGTGTTCTGCCTTGCAGGGTCCTCTTCGTGCTAAATTGGTGGATGCAATAAGGCCACACATTCCTGTACTCAGGACGAGTCCATACGGGAAGAAAGTCCTTGCAATGGTTGGAAAATCTAACTAACCGGTTGCGTCGAGAGCGCGCTTCTAGTCTTGGTAAGATAGCAAAACTAGTGTTTGTTTTCCTTCAGAACTTGTTTTTTCTTTTTTGGGGTAAAGAATTTGTCTAGGCCAGTTGTATCTGGAAAGAAACTCATCAAAGGTGAAGATACATCCATATCTTCACTCCTAATTGTTGTTTTTGGTTAAAAGCTTAGGATGCGTAAAGGCTCGCGTGTTGTTTGTTTTTGTTTGTCTTTGTTTTTTCGGCATAGTAAATAAAGAGGTGAAGGTATAGAGAGAGGGGGGGGCTATGGAAGTGTTGTACATTTGTTGGGATTCTGTTTCTGAAGCTCAATTCATGTAGAAGAAGAAGGGTAAATGTGTGATAGAAGAGAGGCCTTTTTTTTTGGTTGAAGAACCGAAGTAGCTTAGCTTTGTACCATGCTCTGCTGCTATCTTTTTTTGGTTGGGGCTGTGTAATTAAATTGTCACTCCTGTGAATTATTAACAATTTGGGCTCTGTTTATTTTTCTGCCTTGTTTTCATTTTTCTATAAAGAGTTGCATTTGGTTATCAATCTATGATTTTAGACAACAAAATCTCTCTCTCTCCCTTATGAATTATATGTTCTCTTTGATTACCACGATGGTGGCGTAGTGGGCTTGTGGTCGAATGGGGATACCCCTCCTTGGTTCGAAGGAGGGTGCATAGTCAGGGCTTCCTCATTTGGGGACGAGTCTCGCAACTTTAGTTATAGTGTTGGGTGGCCATCGACACTCCATGTTATGGGTATCCAATTAGCAAAACTGCATGATATCGATTTTGAATTATAAAAGAAAAAGTATTATATTTGATTGATTTATTGTTTTTTAACGAAGAAAATGATTTGGCATATTTGATAACATTTTTGTTTTTTATCCTCAATTTTTAAAAATTGTGTTGGTTTACTAATTAGACTTGATAACGATTTTGTTTTTTATCCTCGATTTTTTAAGATTATGTAGGTTTACTAATTAGACTTTAGAAATTGTGAAAGTATTAAAAAAAATTAGTTTTTTAAAAGTGGTTTAAAAAAACTAAAAAGAATAAATTGAGAATGAGGATCAATTTTTTATATTTGCTTACCATTTATGTTTGGGAACTTTAGGGTCCGTTTGACATTATTTTCATTTTTTATTCTTAGTTTATTTAGAAACATAAGCGTTTTGGTAAGTATTTCGAGAAACGTTTTTATTGGAAATAACAAATTCAAATTTCGGATATTTAAACCAAAAAAGAAAAATTCATATAATAATATTTTCTTTCTTAATTTAAAAGTATATAAAACACATGTTTCTATTTCTTTTTTCAATTAAAAAAATGAACAAAAAGATAGTTACAAAATCAATTCTTAAATGTTAAAAGATTTTTTTAAAATTGATTTTAAAAATGAGCTTGATTTTTTAGATAACAATTACTGTATCTATGTATTATAATAGATATAACTTCAATTATTCATCCTATGTTTTCTCTTCAAAATATAATTTTTTTTAAAATTCAAAAACTCATAAATTAATTTGATTTACATTACAGTTGATTATTTATTTTATTTTATTTTTTTTTTTGACAAAGACATATTGAGTTGATTTAGATAACAATGTTATACTCTCCTGTTAAATAAAGTATATCTTATACAAAAATGGTATATAATTTATTAATACAAGCTTGACCAATCGATCAAAAAAAATAATAATAATAATAAATAATACAAGCTTGACCAAAATGTATATAATAATTTAGTGTTCGTCCAATTAGAGAATTCCTAATTTTTTCTCTTTGGAATTTGGACTCGTGCCAAAATTTCTTGGAAATATTATTCTAAAAATTGACCATTTTGACGAGAAATTCCAAACTAAATTGCATTTCTTGTGTAATTTCAAGGGAATAAAGATGATCATGAATATGAGACAATATAAGTGTTTATTAGTAATAAAACATAAAAATGTCATCATAAAATCCAACATCTCAAATTTCCACAAATTATTATTTCTTTTATTTATTTTCCCCCCTCCAAATTAATCAAAATAATGTCATTGTTCTTTTTATTCTTTTTGTTTGTTTATTACACATTAATATTTAAATCAACATAAAATGAAATGTTTTTACCATAATTCTTTTTTAAAATTGGAATTATCCCATCTTTTAAAATAAGAAGGAAACAAAAGAGAGAGAAAAAGAAAATCAGTGCATGGATGAGGATTTCTCACCGTGAATTTGGTTATAAAAGTCAATTCAGCCGCTAAAATTGACTGAATTTTTATTTTTTCTTTATGTGCATTTCTTTTTTTTTTCAAGAGAAGAATCCAATATTCCAACAGTAGAATATTAAATTTTGTGCCAGATAACTCATTTCCTCTAAACTCTTTATTATTTACCTTCATTTTAACTCCAAAGGTTTATCTACCTTTTATATTATGTTTTAAAACCTGAATTGATGTAAGATAGTCTAGTTAGTTACATTAAATATATAGTTTAAGAGGTAAAAGATTTTGAAACTTATACAAATTAGACTTTGATAATCTATGAAATTATAAATCTATAGCTAAAAATCAATAAATTCCATAGCTCGACTTTACAATTTCGAGTCATAAACTGTCTCAGTCGAGCTAACTTGGGTGGTACATCAATCGACATATTACTTATTTGGTACACAAATCTTTTAATGTCGATTAAGTTCTCGAATTCATTCTTCTCTGTCTTTTGTCTTTTGAACTGGGTAGAGCAGAGCAAAATGAGAAGAATTTCCATCTCCTAAGCCAAAAACCAAATTTGGACTAAATATTGGAATTTTTGCACATGGCATGGCCCACCATATATCACTTGCATAGAGTGGTGCAGTTGGAAGCTAGCAAATAGTCAGCTCTAAAATCTCTTATTTTTCCATCTACTTTCTCATTTTCTCCAATCACGGACCATTGACTTTGAATGTTGGTCTGTTGCCTCATCAACTGTATTTTCCTCCTCCTCTCTCTCTCTGTATATCACAACTTCAAATGCTCCATATGAATCTCTTCTGCTGCATCCATGGCAAACTTCATCTTCTTCTTCATCTTCCTCTTCTTCGTCCCGGGTCTTTTGTCGTGTCCCGACCGACAAAAGCAATCCCTCCTCCTCTTCAAGTCCTCCCTCCTTTCCTCTACAGTTTTTCCCAACAGCTCCATTTCTGTCTTCTCCTCTTTGGACTCCTGGAACTCCACTTCAGATTGCTGCCATTGGGAAAGAGTTGTCTGCACTTCCCCTCTGGATTCTCGCCGGAGGATGGTTCGCGGTCTCAATCTTTACTCTTTGAGGATTACTGATGATCCATTGCCACTTGATGCCACAGCATTGATGCCACTTTTCAGCATTAGAAGCCTGATGTTACTTGACCTTTCTTCGAACTACTTCGAGGGTGGAATCCCGGGAGCCGGGTTTGCTAATCTTAGCAAGTTGGTTTATCTTGATCTGATGCAAAATAAGTTCGGTGGCTCCATCCCTCCGCAGTTGTATCGTCTGCGATACCTTCAATATCTCGACATGAGCAGCAATTTGCTTGGTGGAGCTGTGACTGAGGAAGTGAGGTTTCTTGAAAGCCTGAGAGTACTGAAGTTGGACAGCAATTTACTCGGAGGGAACCTTCCCAGAGAAATTGAAAACCTGAAAATGCTGCAGAAACTGTTTATTCGCGGCAACGGGTTCGTGGGCGAAATTCCCCCCTCCATTGTCAATCTGAAATCTTTGGAAGTACTGGACATGAGGGGCAATAAATTTTCAATGGGGATTCCTTCAGATATTGGAACTCTGTTCAACTTGACCACTTTGGCCTTGAGCAATAACAGACTGAATGGCACAATTCCAATCTCAATACAGCACATGGAAAAGTTGCAAAAACTGGAACTGGAAAACAACTTACTTGGAGGGCAAGTTCCGATATGGTTGTTCGATATGAAGGGGCTCGTAGATCTGCTGATTGGGGGCAATTTGATGACTTGGAACACCAGTGTTAAAAGCGTAAAACCGAAGATCATGCTTTCTCAATTGTCGTTGAGATCTTGTGGGCTTGTAGGAGAGATCCCAGAATGGATTGCTTTGCAGAAGGGTCTGAATTTCCTGGACTTGAGTGAGAACAAACTTGAAGGAACTTTTCCTCAATGGCTTGCTGAGATGGATTTAGGTTCCATTATTCTCTCAGACAACAAACTTTCGGGTTCTCTTCCTCCCCGTCTCTTTGAGTCGAAGAGTTTGTCCGTGCTCGCCCTGTCTAGGAACAGCTTCTCTGGAGAACTTCCTAAAAATATTGGTGATGCCAATTCTATAATGCTGCTAATGTTGTCTGGAAACAATTTTTCTGGTGAAGTTCCAAAATCGATCTCAAATATTCATCGCCTACTGCTGCTGGACTTATCAAGAAACAGACTATCGGGCAATACATTCCCAGCTTTTGATCCGTATGCATTTCTTTCCTACATAGACTATTCTTCAAATGAGTTCTCAGGTGAGATTCCAACAACCTTCCCTCAACAAACTAGGATCCTTTCATTGAGCAATAACAGATTTTCTGGAAGCTTGCCCAAGAACCTAACTAACTGGAGCTTGCTCGAGCACCTCGATCTCCATAACAACAATATCTCCGGTGAATTGCCCGACTTCCTTTCCGAGCTCCGCACACTTCAAATTCTGAGTTTGAGAAACAACTCCCTCACAGGTCCAATCCCAAAAAGCATCTCCAAGCTTAGTAGCCTACATATACTTGATCTCTCCAGCAACCATTTGGCTGGAAGAATACCGACCGAGATCGGGGAACTAAAGGGAATGGCTGAGAGACCGAGCACATTCTCATCTCTCTCTGATGATCTCTTCAACATCTTTATTGAGTTCAATGACTTGGTAGTAAATTGGAAGAAGTCAATCCTGGGTCTTCCTACCAATCCGAGCCTCGACATCTACGTATTGTTAGACTTGTCCGGGAACCATCTTAGTGGAGAGATTCCAACATCAGTCGGTAATCTGAAGGGCATAAAGCTTCTCAACCTGGCATACAACAACCTGTCTGGAAATGTACCATCAAGCTTTGGGAACTTAGAGAATGTGGAGACCTTGGACTTGTCTCACAACAAGCTCTCAGGCTCAATCCCAGAATCACTAGTCAAGCTGCGAGAGTTGACGGTTCTCGACGTGAGTAACAACAAGCTCATGGGCCGGATTCCAGTTGGGGGACAGATGGACACCATGAACATTCCAAGCTACTATGCCAACAACAGCGGGTTATGTGGAATTCAAATCCAGCAGTCATGTCCAGATGACAAGCAACCAGCAAAACCAGAATTGGAGGAAGAAAAGGCAGAGGTGTTTTCCTGGGTAGGTGCTGGAATCGGATTCCCAGTTGGCTTTGTGTTTGCAGTTCTAGTTGTTTTCATGTCCGGGTTATTTGGTCCACTAACACCACGTAGACGCAGGAGCATCGTTCGCAAGCCTAGAAGGCGAAGGCCATGAGTTTCATCAAATAAACCATACGTAATGAACTGCTGTGGATCAAATAGTCTGCATTTTAAAAACACTAAAATGCAGCAATATATGATAAACAAAGTCCATGCCTCATGCGTTAGGCAATATGCATCAATAACTTCCACAATCATGGAAGCTTAGTTAATAATTCAGTCATAATTTACAGAGCAGAAAATTCTCTAGCAATCTAGTGAACAATGAAATTTGTTCATGTCAGAGAAACTAAGTGACAACTTTTTGAGTAAAATAATTAAATTAGATAATAGTGGCACATTATTGGTAAATAAAGATGTATTTTGCATCTCATTCTTATCACATATTATCATGTGAGAAATGAAAACAATGAAGCACCAAGGAATGCTAAATCTAAACTTTCAACCACAATACAGATTTTTAGGGATGAATATGATTGTAACGGACATTAAGTGGCCTTCATCAGCAACTTCCTCTTCCTTCTAAATTTGAGAGAATAAAATATTGAGCAATTTCACAAAATAGTACAGATGCAGCTTCTGTTATCCTCATCTTCATAGTCAGTATCTTCACCCTCACTGTTCCATAATAAAAAAAAAAAAAAAAAACCCACATGGAAAAATTCAGTTATTCACACAAAAAGTTGACTTGATAAACTGAACATGCAGAAAACAGCAGTTACCATGCGGAAAATTCTTATGGAGGACTAGAAGTGTTATTTTTCTAATCGGAAGTGATTTTTTCTTTCTTTAAAAGTTCAAAGTGACAAAACGTTTTTTTAACCAATTGAAAACACTTCTTAAAATTTACAATAATCAGGAGTTAGATGAAGCATTTAATTAGTTTTCTTCAACAAGTGTTTCACTTAGAAACACTTTTTTCAAGTCCATTCTATTTCTTCATACCATTTTTCCCACATCTGCATGGCTAAAACTATACAACTTCATTATTTTAAGGATCCGTTTGATAATTGTTTCGTTTTTAATTTCCTAATTTAGAAAATTATGCTATTTTGTACATAATTTTCTTAGTGTTTTCACATCTCCTAAAATCACATTTTAACTTTAAGCCAAATTTCAAAAACAAAAAATACTTTTTTGTTTTTCCCAAAATTAGGCTTAGATTTTGAGAAGTAGATAGCAAAACAAAGAAATACATGGGTAAAATTAGTCTTTACGAGCTTAATTTTCAAAAACATAAAACCAAAAACAAAATTGTTATCAAACGGGACCTAAGTAATTCAAGAATTTGCATACCAGTACATATTATAAAATCAAATAATTTAATATAAGTAAGATACTGTATTTCAATCATTCAGATGATATTTGATTTTTTCAATCATGATCCAGAAGATGTAAAAAGCAGAGAGCACAGCCCCTCCACTCCTTCCAGGCCCTTAACTTTCAAATGGGAGAGAGAGAGAGAGAGAGAGAGAGAGAGAGAGATAAAAATAGAAGAAAAGGGTAAAAGAAGTTACCTAGGTTCAAATTCCCTGATCTCAACAAGTTCTTTGCCTGAAAAATCCATCCATTGTACTTTTTTCGCATGTTTCCCCTCCGGGGCACCCAACTTCAAACTTGTCTTCCTCAGACTGCTCTTGATTCCATACTCAGGTTCCTGCTCTTTGTCATCTCTGCACTCTTGCTTGAATTCAAAGGTATCAACAATGGAAACAGAAGTTCCAATGACTGCCTCAACTTCTGAAGGCAAATGTGGTGAGTTTTCCAATTTCAGTGGTACTGATCCAGTGGTATTTATTTGAGGGGAAGGTTGGCAGAGGCAAAAGGATGAAGGACAGTGGATCTTACACATCCAAAACCTCATTAAAATCAAGAACAAACCAAAAAACGAAAAAAAAAAAAAATTGACTTCTTACTACTTAATCATTCTAAAATTAGCCCATTTAACCACCAACCAACAGAAACATGAATCTCAATCAAATCACCACCCACATCAATCCACAACTCTAAAACTCAAAATTAAGAAATCCCAGAGAAAGCAAGACAATCCCAGTCGAAAACATGGATAAAATGTTCCTAAATCCAATTCCCCTGCCACAAGAGACGAATCCCAGAAAGAAAAAAAAAAATATCCTCCAAACAAATCTTGCAAAATAAGTATCAACGAAAGATCAATCGGGGAAGGCAAGTACAAACCCAGAAAGCAATCGTGAATTTGATCCCTTTTCAACATATAATTTCCTTCGACGACAGGGGAAAACGAAATGGGAATTGTCCCACGCAACCTTTAAAGTTGGGCAGAAGGCTGTTCGTCCAAAATCGATCTTGTTTTTATTCCCATGAAAGATACCTTTATCATTATGAAATGCTAATGCAGAGAAAAAACAGAAACGTGCGGCGTAATCAAAAGGCGGCCATAACCTATTTTCCTTCCTCAGGATTTCATCATCCGTTGCCCAAATTGGAGAATGAGATGGCGAAGAAGAAGATGAATGAATGGGTAACTGAGATTGGAAGTTGCAGAAGAATGGGAATCAGATTGAAGTGTAATTTGCCAACTGAAGAAGAAGGCATTACAGTGGAAGTTGACAGTCGTTCTCTAACTGTCAAAATTATTCTCCCAATTATCTACTTTTTATTTGGGGCTTTAATTAAATCTTATTCTTGTCTCTTAACTTTGGTGATGGTATCTACTTGGATTATTTTATAAGTTATAATTTTGTCTTCAAAATATTTAAAATTTTCATGTCTCAAATAGAACAAATAATCTAGAACTTAGTAATCACGTTAGAGCTTAGATGTTTGAATCATCCACTTGTATTTTCAACTTTGATTCATTTTAATTATTGTACTTTTAAAATGATTATTTTGATTTTTATACTTCTGACTTTTGTCCATTTTAATATATGTATTAGGGATAGCAAAAACAAAAATAAAAAATAAATTCGAGACTCAACCCCGTAGATATCTAACCCGAGTCGAGAACGATCGAATTGAAGAATCTCTGGTTTGACTGAGGGAGGGGGCAGGGATGGGAAGGTCTTCATTTCGTATTTTAATATTTTAATATTATTATATATAATAATATTAATATATATTAATTTTTATAAATACTTTTTTAATTTAAAACAAAAATATGAGTTTATAACATAAAACAATATATTAAAGATTTGTCGAATTGGAAAAACCAACGCTTTAATTAAATTTTACATTATTTCATAAAAGAAAAAGTTTATACGTTTTTGTTGGTTATATTTTTTAAATAATTAAAATATTTATAAAAAAATGTTGGGGACGGTTCTGGGCGGGATGTTACCGCAGGACGTTTCCCACCTTGTTGAAATTTTCTGTCTGTCTTAATATCTATACTTTTCTAAAAAGTGAGATTTTCTGTTCGTTCATTTTTATTTTTCTCTCATTTCTTTCCATCATAATTTTAGCTTGGCAATTCACTCGCTAAATTTCTTGAAATGTAGTCATAAATTTGTATTAAAGAGTTTTTATTAGGTATAAATTTGTATTAAAATTTTAAGAACGTGAACTAAATTAGTCAATTTTAAGAGGTTAACTTTGAGGGCATGGATTCAAATGACATGACACAATAAGATTTAATATCTTTCTAAAATATGTAGTTATGTTAAATTAGAGGTGTTAAAAAAAACCGACAATTTAAAGAACTCAATCCTTTAGGTCATACAATCCTTTAGGTGATATAAAGGCTTGGTCAAGATTGGGGTACCAATTTTTCGAATCGAGCGGTTCGATTCGATTTGGTTATTCAACCAGTACCAAACCTATTCAATTCTTTTGCCTCGTTTACTTCAGTTTTTATTTTCTTCCTCTCAACTCGATCTCAATCTCCCTCCGATAAAACATAAGTATATTTCTTTAAATATGATTTTCGTGGATTATTAAATACGGTTTTGATTAAAGTTTTGTTATACTTTTAAGTTTTAAGTACGCACTTTTTGTTGCAGAACTTGATCAATGTAAAATGGTTTGAACTTCATGGATTAAATCGTTTTTATTCATATAATTATAGTTCAGTAGTAAAGATATCTATTTATTCTCTTGGAAGTATTAATAAAATGAAAACTATTATGTTTCCAGAAAATGTATTTTAACGTTTTAATTTTTATGATTAGAAAAAACAATATAAATAAAAACTAAAACACAATTTTAGACTCCATAAGTTGCCTTTTTACAATATTTTAGCTTTTATACCAACTTTTTTTTTTAAGAATCCATAACAATATTTTACTTATGTTATGGGAAGAAAAATATAGAACGGACAAAGCTACAGAAGGGAGTCGCCGAAGACCGTCGGCCCGGGCCAACCCAGATCGACCCGTGGTCGGTGCCAAGGTTTGGCCGAGAACCCTAATTTGATTCCCCTCGATCTTGTGCAGCCCAATCCGAAATCCTACCTGATCTCGACCCTTGATCCGACATTAGGTACACAACGAAACACATGGACGAAGTAAGCCAAACCCTAAACACAATACCCTACACCTTATACTCAACTACTCCGATCTAACTTAAGCATCGGAGTCTATGTGGCAAGAACCACACTGGCCTTAGTGCGGTTCTATTTTACAAGTCTCGTCGATCTCTTTGTCTATTGGTACCAATTTGACAGAATCCTAAAAACCAAATTTCTGCATCAACAACTTTCATTCAAAATTTTTAGCTAAAAAATCTAAAAGTAGAAATTGTCGAAGATAACTAAACTCGTAGGTAAGTCATATATGATCGTCCAAAAAATGAGAGCTAAGTTTAAATCCCTATCCCACGCATTATGAAAAACATTTGTCCAAATAAATGTTTGTAAACTTGTTTTTAAACTAGTTCGTATACTCTGACCTATTTGTAAACTAAACAATATTGATGGATTATAATTATAGTAATTATAGAATAATCGGTACTATAAAATCTGTTATATTTCCAATTAATGTTTCAGCTTCTTCTTATTCTTATTCTTCTTTTCTTTTCCTGCCTCCGTCGAATTTGATCGGCATACATTGTGTTCTTCCATCCCAAAATTGGGCCAGATTTTTCTCTAATTTGGGCCGATTCTTGTACCCATACAAGCCCATTTTCCAACCCACTTTTTTTTGTTTTTTTGGCCCATTTAGTCAACGTGCCTTTAGAATTTATAAAGTAAAATTTTCACACATTTGTTTGAATTTGTATATATGGTTTTTTTTTTTTTTGAAAAAGTATATATGTATAATTAATAGACCGAGGGTTAGTTTCTCGAATGTCATCGTATTTAGTATCCGAACGAAATCACATCATCACTTTCCAAGTAAATCAAAGATGAGGTCAAAATAGAGTTCGTCTTACAATTAATTCGGTACGACAAAAGTCTCTTCGAACTCATTTATGTCACTAACACTCACTTTAATTACTAAATATTTTTTTGAAAAGTTAAAAGAATAAGAAAAATGTACATTAGTATGTAATTGTTTTTGGGAGATACTTAGTGACAAAAATAGGACATCGAGAGTATGGCTTCCGCATATTTTTTTACAAACTCACTTATTCTAAAACTTATTTTGAACTCGTAGCGAAGTCTTCCTTCAAAATATACACGTCGCATCGTCTTTTTTAATCAATATATTCAATTTAACATAAAATTTTAAATCGCATCATATTAAACCGAATCCGATGTCATTTTCGAACTTTTTCATTATGTTCCAACACCCTTTGCTCACCATCTTTTTCCAAGTGTTACTTTTGTTTCCAAAATTCCATTTCCATCATTCCAACCTTTTTTCCCCTTTTTACCCTAAAGTAGGATCTCATTTTTGCAATCTCTATTATATTTTTCGTAATCCTATATTTTGTGGATAACTTTATTTTCAAATTATATGATAGGTTGTTTTTGTTAAGGTGAAATTAGTTGGAGAATCGAATTATCACCTTCACATGTTATTGAACTAAAAAAATACAGTGATTTTTCTCTCTTTTAACATTACTCATCATCTCTAATGTATTTATCAGATTTATATTTTATTTCATTTTTTTGTTTGCTATATATATATATATATTTAGACAATGTGCAAAATAATTTAATCATGCTTTGAAGGTATGCATAAATTTATAATTATAAACTTTCCAATATTATGCGGCAGTAAATAAACGGTTTACTTTAAAAACCATTATATAATTTATCATTAATTTTTCATCATTAATTATTTAACAAGAATTAAAATTTGTTTAGAAGACTCACACTCAATCTGCCATATGTATAGCTTCAAATACATGCATTATTGATCATATAACTACGCATTTATTGGTAATGCAAAAATAAATGCAAATAAGTAAACGACTTAACTATATTAGATTTATGTTTTTTTGTTGATAGTTTATTAAAAATTAAGGTTAAATTATATATTTGGTTTCTATGATTTGGACGTAGTTTTAATATATTTGTTGGTTCCTATAGTTTTAAAAGTTTCAATTTTGTCAGAACTTAATTTCAATTTAGTCTCTATGGTTTAATTAAACATAACTAATCCTTAAGCGGTCTCTTTTGACCATTTGAAAAAATCTCATCTAATTTCCTATATTTTTTTTACTCAACATTACCAAAATTGAAAATTTTAAATTACATAAGACCAAAGTAAACCTAAGTTCAAGTAGAGATAAAATCGAAAAATTTTAAAATTAAAATAACCAAATTTATAATTTAACAAAAAAAATAATAATAACAACAATCACTAAAATAGTTTTTAGTACAAACTAACGGACAGTGAAAGTAAGGCACACGAAGAAAAAAAAAAGTAAAAAAGAAAACTACGAGAAAATGACTAACATGAACCTAGCTTAACGGTTATCGAGATGTACTTTTTTTCTCGAGATCTGAGGTTCGATCATCCATATCTTCAAATTGTTGTACTAAAAAAACTGAGAAAATGGGTTCAACGTACATGATAGCTATATCTATCAAAGATATCAAAATTCTAGGTTCGATTTATGTAATATAAGTCGAAGTCGTATGTAAGTTGAACCCGATACTCGCGGACACAAAGATTTATATATATATGAAAAGGTTATTTGAATTAAAATATTTGCAATGATTCACACGTTTTGTCCTGAAAATTTGACCAAGCATTGGATTCTTTATTTTATCTTGTATGGAGATTGAGTCAGTTTTTTGGCCATTATTTCCCCTTTTGTCCTCGTGTAACGTGATGCTGGACGGCTGCTCACGGGTGTACTTTCATCTCTGTCGACCCTACACGTGTACAGTGATGCGGCCACCTTCATTCCACTCTCTCTCCCTGACATACGTCACCTTCCTCACCCGCGGGTCATCATCCCCCTCTCCCTACCTCACCTCCCTCGTCTTTATACTGTTAATTTTATTTGATCTATATTTGCACAATATTAACGTAAATAAAAAGTAATAGGCCAAAATTATTAGTTTTCAGAAGTTTAAACATCAAAATAAACATTTTTAAAATACATAGATTAAAATGAACAAAATTAGAATATATATAGGTTAAAATATTTTATATTATTAAAATTTGAAAAATAAAAAATTGATTTATCATTAAATTATTATTTTATTGTCATATTTAAATATGATGAGATTTGATACATGAAACTCAATTAGACCA